GAATAGGAAGACATTTTAGGGAGACAATGATGGCTCATGCAACAACATTTCTGTATTTTCTGGCCATTTGTTGTCTCCTTCGAAAAGAGCAATTTCCATTTTTCCTTTCCGTTCTTCCTCTTATACTGCACGATTTTCCTGTGAATATTACTGCTGGCCTGTTTATGCATAACTTTTATTCCTTCAAGTAATCTGAAAATACCAGTGGAAAAGTTCAAAAGGATATATTTAAAGGATTGTTAATTAAAACAATATAAATAAATATGCATGTGCTCTTGGTAATTTTAAATATTTTTTTCCAATGTTTAAAAAAACAAGTAAAGAAGAAGGATTTTATAGGAAAAGGCTTTTGCAGCATCAGCAATTCATCAATATTTGGAAAGGACGAAATTGCTGTCAAAAATATTTCTTTTATTTTAAGTGATGAGATATTATGAATACAATAATCAGATATCACTTAGAACAGTTAAGTTTGGGCAAATATAAATTATCTTCTTTCTTTTCATCTCTTGTTCACTGATCGATTTGTTTAATTAACATTATCAATGTCTTTGTAGATGTTCACCAGAAACCAAAAATAATAGTAATGAAGAGAGATCTTCCTACTTGAACATTCTAAAACATGTTTTTCTTGTAATATAGACGAATTATCAATATTATTATCAGTAATAATTAAATCGACTTAAATCGATAGCAAAATAATGAAAAGGGAAGGAAGGAATAGGAAGACATTTTAGGGAGACAATGATGGCTCATGCAACAACATTTCTGTATTTTCTGGGAAAATCGAATCACTGTGATAACTAATTCTTTCAGTGTTCATGAAGATGTAATATTAACACCAAGAAATATTTTCTACAGAAATAAATTTCGATCCTTTCATTATTTAACTAATTAAGTTGAAGATTTTTATTGCTGCAGTAAAGAACTTATTGTTTTTTAATTTTCATTTGGCCACTTTTGATGTGTTTGGGAATGAAAAAGAACATCGTGCGATCATTTTTATTGTTTTTTCGTTCTTGCATCAGTAAAGAATGCTCAGTAAACCAATCACTCTTCAAGATCTGTCGAGATAACAAAAGATTACGGCCAGTCAACATTTTCTTATTGGTTTATGACATTATTTTCTCGGTAACAATTCATGAAGAGAATGCAAAAATCAGATTTCTGATGCTCTCACATAACTACACGTTGGATGTTAGCGTAGGTGTCATATTATTGTTTCCGAAATTGATAAGTTAATGGGTTAATTAAGATTATTCTTGTTTTGTCTTCTCCGTATCTTAGCAAACATTAAATCTTAATAGGATAAGTGAACAAACTCAGACATCAGATTGCCGATAACATTTGCCACCCATGCATGTCAAGTTCTAATGTTCAAGTATTGAATTGACGACAGTGACTTTTTAAGCAAATAAATATAGCGTGGATCAGTCCATGAAATATTTCAAATATATGAAATTAGTGACTAGCAAGACGAAACATTAAAGGAAAAAACAGAGAAATGAATTTCAAGGTAAGACATTAACTGTTACAGAATGAACTATCATCAGTTTGCTTCAATTTAAAATTGAGTGAGTTTTTTTTGTTCAATGACAATTCACCGAATAATTCAATTTTTGGTCCAATGATTTGATCGTATTTAAAACGATGAAGGCAATTTTTGGCAACTCGTTTTTTCCTTCGTCTTTTCGTTTTTTCTCATTTCCAATATATAATAACATTCTTGCATCTCTCTGCTCACCTCTCCTGTATTTGTTAACTCGATTTTCACAAAAATATAATTTCTTTGTCCTATGTTATTTTATTCTCGATAATTCCAAATATCACAACAATCAATTTATTTATATGTTTCACTTCCCTTTTCTCTTGTAAGTTATTTATTCATATTAATAATTGCCAATTTTCCTCTTATTATTGATTAACTATTTTCCGCCCTACCCTGAATTTATCTGCGGATACGTCATCAAAACTGCATTTTGATTCTTGCGATTGCGAATTTCAGTTACTACTTATGCGATATTTTTTTCGTGTCATCTGGAAGCCGGACATTAATATGATTGCTAACCGGACATGATTTCGACGGGTGAATCACCGGGTAAATATTACATTTCAAGATGTCTTCTTTCATTGATTCTCTAACTGAGTCACTGTATGGTTTATTTGATCGTAGCGATTTAATGAGTGCGTCCTCTTGGCCTCGTAAAATTTACAGAAGTTAGGGACATTATGTTCCGCTGCCTGCCTCAATCATTGCAAACATTATTATTCTCGTATCGCATGAATAAACTGATGGAGAAATACGTTTTTGAACAAAAATATACTTTAAGTACGAATTGTCGACTTTCAGTTTTAAAATACAGTTGGAATTGTTTGATCGATTTGTTTTGATTGGGCAGCTGTACGAAATGGCAAAAGTGGAAAACGACGATGAGAGCATGTGGTCATGCCTGAAAAAGTTAGTATGTCAATATTAGGTGATAAACGATAACAGTGATGGATAATGGAATGAATTACCTGGAAATTATTGAGATATGCCGTATGGCATCAGGGAAAAAGATTTATTATCAGCCATGCACATGTATCAATAAACTGATTAATTCTGAAAAATTAAAATTTTTATTAAATTGTAAATTTTGGATTTTTTTCCCAAATATTTTTTTGAGAAGTAGTTTTATTGCTTTATTGATGGTATATTGTTGAATTATTGACAAATAATTTTGCAATCAAAAAACAATAACAGAGACAAATGATTTTTTCATCGAAGGGACAAACTTTTAACTTATAAGAAATGAGAGAAAAAAAGAAAAAAGAAAAATGCATTTGCTTATTGCAATCGTTGTGCAACTTTAGGATTCTTCTAGTATTTTTTAAGGATAGTTGAGGGAAAAAATGAAGTTAAATATTTCCTTGAACATAAATTTTTTTCTAAAGTTGGACTGTACGTCAATCTCGACCTTTCATTTCAGTTGAACCAAAATTATTCAATCCTTTTTTGTTGAGTTGTTAAGTTCGTATCGGTTAGAAAATAAACGAGTGTGACATCCTTGTGTCTTATCAAATCTTTTGTCAACTTGGAAAAGAAGGATAAATTAATAAACAAAGAGATAGGTAAATGAATGAGCAAATCGACGAAAATGCATTTAAATAATATATAGTAGCTCATTTCGCAGCAGTTATAGATGTTTCAAAAAAGTGAATCATATACATGTATTTTTCGCATTATTTGCGGTTGTATTGTTAGTGGAATCAGTTAGTGCCACATGTATCATTTCTACAACGCAAGCAATTGAACGACAATTTCAAATACCATCAAAGCTGTCCGGTTTTATGGTTAGCGCCAGTAAGTCTCCAATCTTGACTTTTAAAACAATATTTGATGATCAAGTTGAGCAACTAATTATGTATTCTAAATTAATCCACCTATTGCACTCTCGTAAAATCCATGAAATATATGCATACCTTTTAGCATCCTCTCAACTTTTGCTATTTATTTCTTGGAAAATCAATCTTATCTTCTTATTTCACTCATTAAATTACTTTTTTATCTCTTTTTTTATTAGAAGTTAAAAAAGATTTATATTAAAAAAACTCATTTGAATGCTTTTTGGAAAAAAAAGGAAAGGTGGACGCATTAACAGTAAGTGAAAGGTTCAAGTCCAGTTCATCACAATTTATAAGATTTTATATGACAGTTTATACGAAATATATGTATAAATGAATTTCGAATATATTATTAGCAGTGAAGAAGAAAAGTTTCTTTTTGAAAATTGTCTTTCCTTTGGGAAAATATTAAAATGTTGAAGCAGTTTAAAATAATAGAAAAAAGGAAGGAATTTAAAAAGTTATAAATGATTTAAAAGGATATACGAAATTGCGAAGGACGAAGAAATTTGTAATCGCTAAAAATATTTTTTTTTCGAGAAGCAATTTATATTTATACTCATTTGTCACCCTATACTGAATACTGTCATCTTCTACATAAACGTGGCATGGACATACGCTTTTGCATAACCTTAGTACAGCTAATTTGTCATTATGCAAATTATCAAATTCATTTAATAAAAAAATTATGTCATATTTCATTTACAATTAAAATTTTTAATTACCTACAATATTAGCATTCTTGTTATAGGTGATTTTGCATACATTCCTATGGTAATCTTTGTTTCGTACTTTGGTTCTAAGGGTAATCGAGTTAAATGGATTGGTGTTGGCACTTTAATAACGGCAATTTCACATTTGCTCATTTCTTCATCTAATTTTTTATTTCCAGTCGAACAGCAAATTCTCAATTACACCTTTCTTCATGTATGTATTTTCTTTATTCAAGTTTTATTCCTTAATTAAACGTCAAAAGAAAAATTGAATTGTTTGTGTTGAAATGTTAAATTCGTAAATAATTTCAGAAACGTTTGTTTCCACCTGATAAACTTTTGATATCGAGTGCTAAATTGGCTCAGTTTTTTGACTATGAACTTATAAAAGATCGCATAAATGAAAGTGTAAGGAAAAATTTCCTGAAGAAAATAGTACCATTGAATGATCATTCATTTCACGTGACGCCATCGTGGAAAATGGAACATGGCGATGAAGTATTGGTTGCCGATGCTAATTACACATTGAATGAACGTTTATTATCCAAGGTAATTAACTCTAGTGAGAATGACAAGAGCGCAAGAACTAACCGTGGTCGAAAAACGTTCATGTATGATTTGTCTTTCTCGATAGCTACCGAATATGTCGAGAGTGGATTATTTGAAAATGAAACTTCAGATCGTTCGAAAGATACATGCGGTGATTGATGGCAATACAAGTAGTAATGATATCAGTGAAGTGAAGAATTTGTTACAAAAATATGTCACTGAAAGAGCTAATGAAACGTTGGCTGATTTGGCTAAAATACAAAATAGTGCTCGCGCACCATTTGCTTACTGTTCGAAACTTATCAATGAAATGCGACAAATTATCAGAGTAAATTTCCGACATTTTTCCCATAAATTAAATGGATTAAAATAGATTCAAATTAATTTTAGTGGTTATTATCTAACGATACGATAGTGATCGATCAAATATTGAACAGAACTACAGATGATAAGGAACTTCTCGAAAAAGTTCTCAATGTTAATATATTGCTGTTGCTAAATTATCTTTTCAGACGACTAAATGTGGGAAAAAATCCTTGCATAAGAGGCCTATTATGATGCTATTTTTCGGTTTAATTGGCTTCGGCGTCGGCCGTTGTATGCCGTGGTCACTCGGTGTACCGTTAATCGATGACAGTTTTTCTAAGAAAAATCTTCCGACATTCTTTGGTAAATTGCTTGCCCATTGCAGAATTCAATCTATAAATCATGAAATAGAAAACAGAAGTAAATGATTCCACATACATTGAGAATTGGAAGTTATCTGTAACAAAACGGCTTTTAAATCAACAGTCTGTTTTCATAACCTTTTATTCTGCAGGAAATAATGGCATTCTGACTCAAATCTATAAACGTTGCGTAATAACAGCAAGCATTGTTTTTATTTACTTATTAATAAATCAGATGATAATAAATTACTACCCGAAAAATTAAAAGCAAATATTTCAGCTGGCATGAACTTCATTCGAATTCTAGGACCCGTGTGCGGATTTTTGATCGGAAGTTTCTGCAGCAGTTTTTACTACACTTTAAAACGTATGTAGTGCATGTCGACTACTTTTAAAGCCTTGGAAATTTTGTGGTGAAAAGGGGTTAACATATATATTTATAAGATAGTAGATGGTTACATTGATTAAAAGATAGGATAAGTGATTAGTTCAATTAAATTAATAAGCATTACTGAATTTTCAAAAGGTTTTGTCTTCAAGCATATCAAAATTTAGCAAATTGTTGGATAAGTTACAATAATTTTTAGCTCCACCGGGTTTGTCAGCAAAGGATCCAACTTGGATAGGCGCGTGGTGGTTGGGATATTTGTTCATTGGTCTGTTGCTAATCGGACCGTCAACAGCATTATACTTTTTTCCTATCAGGTAGAAAACTTCCATTTATAAGTTAGAGAGTGTAACATAGATAATGAGAGAAGCGATTGATAGCTTCAAGAATTCTATTTGAAAAAAAGAAAACTTCAGGAACAAATCTACAACAACAAAAGATACCATCAAGGATGATAATTGCGCGGAACAAAAGGAAGTCGAAATGCCAGTATTTGACAAGCATCGTGGCAATAATCCCATGGAGTCATCCATTTGTGCTAAGTTTCAAGGTTTGTAAGTTGTTGTTTCTTTTTCTTCAATCCTCATTGTTTTCACTGTAATAGAATTGTTAGCAGTAAATGCTTTGGATTGAAAATTCTGATTTTTATAGTTTTCATGATCATTTACCAATTCCCGTTTCTAAATAGGAATGTTTTCTATTTAGAAACGCACCTGTAATCGAATAATCCTTCTATCGGATATTTAATTTCAATTACTGAACTACTGGTAATGACTGACATCTCAAAAATGATTGCTTGTTAATTTATCATAGTATGAGATCTAATTTTGATGGCATTCTAAAAGATATTATACTTATGAAATATCACATTAAGAGTGCTATTGCAACAAAACTCAACTCAATAAAATTCGAAAAATTTAATAAAATCAATAGAATTCAATAAAATTCGAAAAAAAAAACTCAATAAAATTCAAAAAGCAAATTTATTAATTACGTAAATTGAATACGGAAAATATCTTACTTGTACTATTAATGTATTAAATGATATTTCCGCAATGTGTTAAATGAATTTTATTTAACAATGAAAGATCGAGTGGGCAGCAATTTGAAATAATGGAAATGAGATGAAAGATACAATCTGTATTAATTGCACTTCCATAATTATTTTAAGCTAAATTAAAACGAGTGTAAAGTGATGAAAGAGACTCTTTCTACGTGGGTTATTTGAAATTGGATGGAAAATTAAACAACGAAATTCACTCATTAAATGACACTTTGTTATATCAAATTTAAATAATGGAAGCAAAAGTTGAAAATTGAGAAAAATAACGTTGATTACCTATCGATTAAGAGGGAAGTTGACAAAGTGATGCCAACCAATTCGATAGATAGTAGAAGTAATTGATTATCGACAAGGGAGGAGAATGGAAAATTAATTCTGATTGCAGAGAAGTAGGTTTGCATCGAATTATTAATCATTTAGATCAGTGACTGTGGCAAAATGGTACGAGGCGAATATGATAATAATATTGTCAGACTGAATGAATGAGTAAAAAGACTGAAATAAACTTTCTAAAAAAAATTTATTGAATGTTTTAATTAGTGATTTATAATAATACAGCGAATAATATTATTTGTTCTCTTCATGAATTTTCATCATTACTGTTTCAGCGCTTTGTAAAGCATATGCAGAAATATTACAGTCAAAAATATTTGTCGGTCTCTTAGTAGCTCGGTCACTCGATTTATTAGCATTCCGTGGTTATATGGTATTCTTGCCGAAATATCTCGAGATGCAGTTTGGTATACCACAGTATAAAGTACATATACTTATGGGTTAGTTGTTGGTTCCTGTCCCTTTATAAACTTGCAATTGGGAGGTACTGATACTTGAAGGAAGGGGAGATGAAAAGGATGCTCTCTGCTTCTTTCTTAAATTAAATTACTTCAGCATAAAAATGAGATGGAGAATAAATGTAAGAGTAAAAAGCAAAGTACCGAAGAAAAGTCAAATTAATGGACAAATTTAACAAAACTGCTTGAATAAATTATTTTTGGGGAATTTTTACAATTTTCTGCATATTTATTGAGTAGATAACTGTAAAGCTTCTTTTTGTCCTTATTTATTAAGGAAAAAAACTTTTTGGATTATCAAGTTATACTTCTGCTCATTTCACGTCTTGTTTTCTAACTACACAACGCAAAGTACGTAATTCCTAGAAGGTTAACAGATTTTTAGCATCTTTTGGTATATTTGGACTTGCAATGGGCGCAATCAGTGGCGCTATAATCGTACGACGTTATAAATTTAGTGGCCGTGGTGCTGCAATATTAATTATGGTCCTTTCTGTCGTTAACATTGCCCTATTCTTCAGTAAAGCCTTTTTTGGTTGCTATTCGACAGTTAGCACAGTTGGTGCCAATGGCCGGTGTGTGTCACCATTCATTTGCAATACTTCCTAATTGACCTGTGACCTTTGAAAACAGATTCCGGATAACAAGAGAAACAAACTATTCCTCATCCTTAATTTTCGATAAAATTTCTTGGAGCTTTTACTTATTATTATTTCTTGATAAATGAGCATATTATTTCATAGGGAGCCCTCATCGACAGTGCATATATTGGTGAAAGGTAATCGCTTATTCGCGAATAAGTCATGCTCTAGCACAAATTTTTCCTTAGAAATTACCAAGTTTTAAATTTATGAAATTAATTTAATTAATGTTACACATATTGAAAAGTTTTGTCTCTCTCATGTATTTGAAGTGAGGGAAATAGAACATTTTAAAATTCTGGAGTTCATTTTTTAACAAGTTTTCAGGTCAATTAACTATAATTATACGCAGTCATGTAATGCAAATTGTGGCTGTCAATCAGCACCATTATATCCGATTTGTGATAAATCCGGATATGCTTACTTCTCACCTTGTCATGCGGGTTGTCGTGATGTTTGCATTGCTCATTCATTTCTTTTCATCTCTGATTGAAAGGAGAAAAAGAGTGAGAGTAATTAGTTCAGTGCTTCATTTCAGGTTAGGATAACCGATGTGAGAAAGCACGAGTTGGAATTTTCCTCATGTGAATGTAAGCCTGAAGAGGTGTTGTCGAGGAAGAATTGTCGGGATGGTTGCAGTCTGAATGCAATGCTTTTTTCCATTCTTATTACTATCGGATCATTTGCCGTTGGTAATTGTCTGGTACCCGGAATGCTTCTGCTTTTAAGGTTATCCTGTGAAGATTATTTAAAAAAATTGTGAAGCAAAACAAGCAACTCACTTTATACAAAAACTGAGATCAGAACGAGCCCTGATAATCTGTTTCGAAGAAAGGAATTTAATTTCCGTTGCATCATGAAAATGAAATGATGCAATTGATTGCTGAGATTATCATCCTCAACAACATAACAAATCGTCCTAATCACGCACAAAAGTATTTTTATATGAATAAGGATTTAGGTCGGTACCACCGGTACATCGGAGCATCGCCCTCGGTTTTCAAGGCTTTGTGGTAAGTCTATTTGCTAGTCTACCTTCACCATTTATTTGGGGAGCTATAGTGGATACCACATGTCTGGTTTGGAGTTATACATGCCCCGAAATTAAGGTATCTCTTTCTCTTCTTATTCTTACTCATTATCATAATTTGAATGCTTGTATTTATGTCAGCGCTCTGGCTTTTTTGATTACACTAATTTCTGACTTTGGCAATGCAATATACTGTTGTACCAGATGGAAATTCTCTTTTTTAAAGGGAGCATGTGCCATTTACGAACCAATATTATTACGTCAACGACTGCACTTCACGTACGTTGCTTTTCGTCTTGCATCAGCTCTAGCTGATCTTTATGTGATTAAACACGCCCATGGTATAAACATTGTCAATGAAGCGGATGAGGGCCCGAAACATCCCAGCGGTATGATGGCACCACATGTAGCTGGACAATCAGTACAATGCACTCTTTGCTGATGGTAGTTATGCTGGACGGGATATAGCATCAACCTGTACGAATAGACACGTCCATCTATACGGTTTATAATCGCACTCGTTGACCAGGTTATCATCTCAGACGGAACATGCCAAACCTCTATACATCATTCATGTAGGTTATCGATTGTGGAACATTCGGCGCGATGATGCTACTCTGCTGATGTGATATTAAACTGTTTATAGCAACATTTTTTTTACTATGACTAACTGATTTATTCAAACAGTCTAACAGTTTACCGTACAGATCTGTGTGGAATGTTGATGCTGAAAAGTGAAAGTGATAGCAATCAAAACTGACTGCTGCTTTCTTTTTCATAGCCTAAACATCGGTTACAGTGTATAATAGATTCGCACTCGCACTCTCCTCCAATCCCGACAACTGTAGTGAATTCATCATGAAAGGTTTGATACATCTAATTCATCGAAATTGTCACTATTCACATTTGTTTTATTAGCATATATCTGATCAACTAAACTGTCTCAAAGTGTTGACCGACCGCTGCTTCGTTTCCCAAACCACTAATACACTACAATTTTTGTCTTATCAACACGAAAATAGATGCATTATTTATAGAATCCTAATAAACAATAATGCGATCACAAAATTCAAGGTAAACAACAAACCTGCTGCAACAAAAATACCAACAATATGAATAAACTCATTTCTTTTTAAAGGTCTACATTAAAGTCCTGCAAAAACGATACTTTGTTCTACTATCACAATAGTAAAACTCAGAAAAGCTAAGAGAAAATGTTGATAACAGAAACTGAACTGAAGATGATTTGAACGACAATTCCATTTCTTCATTACTGTAGTTTGCTCTTCCATGCTAATTAGCTTTTTCTCTGCAGCATAATTAGATTAATATATAATTTTGTGTCCTTAACTGAATTTCCTACATAACATTTAAAGCTATTAGAAAGGAAGTTACGTACCACATTCAACTTTTTCTAGATAGTTTTTCAGTAAAATGTCCAAATCATTGCTCCAAAATAAACCAAAATTTTTCTCTATTTCTTACTACTACGATAAAATTACCAGAAATTCTGACAAGTATATCACAAACCTGGTATGATGATTAGAACAGTTGTTTTCTAATGGAATGAATGATGGATTTTTTCATTCACAGAAAAATTACAAATTGGATTTCAAATTTCTTACTTTCGTCTTGCGGCAAGCATTCTCAATAAACGATTTCCGGAAATAAATGTTATAGTGCCAATCACTGATAAATATTTCAGCGTTTCAAACATAGTCAACTGTAGCCAGAAAACAAAGTATAACCCGAATATTCCTACAAAAAGTAATTATTATATAACAATTTTTATTGGATTTTGAAAATATTTGAAAACTGTATTTTCATGGGGAAAATTATGAGAAAA